CCTGGGTGAGGCCCGACTAGTAACCAATGCCAAATCCAGCGAAACAACTGGCCGCTGTGATACAATTGTATAATAATAATAATAACGCATATTACGAAAATACGTTACAACATCCTAGGCGCCTGGGTGGGGCCCGACTAGTAACCAATGCCAAATCCAGCGAAACAACTGGCCGCTGTGATACAATTGTATAATAATAATAATAATTAATTATTTAATGTGATTATCATAATCGTTTGTCCTTTTTGGAACAGCTCTATGGATAGGAAATTTAAAGTTAAGTAAAATAGTGAAAACAAGGCCAAAAATTTAGATGCATTAGTATGCATTACAAAATGAGGGGGGGCTCCAAATGGCACTGTAAAAGCCTTTTTTTAAATCAACAAAGGTATGATGGTTTATCTAAAATTAATGCTTTGAATGCCGTTTTGTCAGAGATATTTTTATTAGGACTTCTAATCCCAACAGGATCCCTCTTGGATGTTGTGTTTAAAACAGGGAAGACCCTTCTTTTGTTCAGCCCTTGAAATTTCCTTCAAGCATCCTTGTAATTGGCCCAGGAATTCTAAGACCAAATTCATGTAAACCTCATTGGTGCTATCTACACATTCTTTGAGCAGGAGACTTAATATTTAAGCCATGTTTAATACTTCAAGACTTTCAAGGCAAGGTGAAAAAAAATAACTTTTTACCAGTGACGATCCATAATTTGCTGAGATGCTGAGACTTCTCTTCCAGGGACAGAAGTCACCAATTCCTAAGCTGTGAAATAGCTCCTGTGTTTCAAAAGCCAGCCCAGCAGCTATACTTCCTGTTCCTTTGAAATGTCCACACCTTGCTCCTAATCTTGAAAAACTGGTTCTCAGATATTGGGAAGCAGCTATCCCATGTCTCCGTCATCTATTTTCCAGCATACAGGAAACACTTTCAAGAATTCTATTTTCATATTAACTTACCATTAAATAATTAATCATAAAGAGTGCAGGGAGAGGGAAGAGATGCTATCTCAGTTAAGATCTTTATGTCCAGATGTTTGGCAAGTAAATGAATGTTTTTTTCCACTTTATTTCCACTTTATTGAATGGAAAGATGACTTTACATTTGAGAAGATGCACAGGGAATGCAGAAAGTCATTTAGCGGATGATATCTTTGCACTGGTGTACCACAGAGAAACCAAATGGGAAAACCTGATCTAAAAAGAAGTGCTGACATTGGACTCAAAAGATAGAATAGAATAGAAAAATAGAATAGAATAGAAAGATAGAATAGAATAGAAACATAAAATAGAATAGAATAGAATAGAATTTTTTATTGGCCACATGTGATTGGACACTTAAGGAATTTGTCTTTGTTGCATATGCTCTCAGTGTACATAAAAAGACAAGATACATTAATCAAGAATCATAAGGTACAGCACTTAGTGATAGTCATAGGGTACAAATAAGCTATCAGGAAACAATCAATATCAATATAAATCATAAGGATACAAGAAACAAAGTTACAGTCTTGCAGTCATAAGTGGGAGGAGATGGGTGATGGGAACGATGAGAAGACTAATAGTAATAGTAATGCGCCCTTAGTGAATCGTGTGACAGTAGTGAGGGAATTATTTGTTTAGCAGAGTGATGGCATTTGGGGGAAAATGTTCTTGTGTCTAGTTGTCTTTGTGTGCAGTGCTCTATAGTGTCATTTTGATGGTAGGAGTTGAAACAATTTATGTCCAGGATGCAAAAGGTCTGTAAATATTTTCATGCCTTCTTTTTGACTTGTGCAGTGTACAGGTCCTCAATGGAAGGCAGGTTGGCAGTAATTGTTTTTTCTGCAGTTCTGATTATCCTCTGAAGTCTGTGTCTGTCTTGTTGGGTTGCAGAACCAAACCAGACAGTTATAGAGGTACAGATGACAGACTCAATAATTCCTCTGTAGAACTATATCAGCAGTTCCTTGGGCAGTTTGAGCTTCCTGAGTTGATGCAGAAAGAACATTCTTTGTTGTGCTTTTTGATGATGTTTTTGATGTTAGGTGTCCATTTTAGGTCTTGAAATAGGAGAGAACCTAGAAATTTGAAGATCTCTACTGTTGATACTGTGTTGTCTAACACACTATTGTAAGAGGTGGTAGTATGGGAAGGTTTCTCCTAAAGTTTACCACCATTTCTATGATTTTGAGTATGTTCAGTTCCAGATTGTTCTGGTCGCACCATGAGGCTAGTTGTTCAACCTCCCGTCTGTGTGCTGTTTCATCGTTGTCATTGCCCCCTAAATTGCTGTCAAGAGGGGTTATCTGGCTGCATAGTTATCACTGTTCTGTCTAAAGGAGCGTTGCAATCATGCTTGTGAATTCTACACCCACCCCCATCTTTCTTCAACACAAGATGGCAATAGATGAAAGATGACTGTGAAATAGTGCAGTCACATACCTAGAAGTCTGGAAATTAGCAATGACCAGCAGAGAAGCAGTTTCATTGTACCTACCCAAACACCTTTGCAGAGGGGCTTGTGCTGAAATCGTAAGGGAGGAAAGATGTTTTAGTTGCGCCAATTATCCCACCCAGAAGAAGGTCTCCTGGCTTGTGATAATTCAGTGGGTCCACTTCATTCCTCTTCAGATTCAGAGGGCATTTCAAAGGGACTTTCCTATCAGCTGCATGAGGAAGCAGCATGAGAAGGAGAAGCAGAAAAACCATTTGTCTGCCTGAGCCAGTCTCCTGCCTTGTAGCTTCTCTTTTTCTCAGATAAAATTTGAAGGAAGGAAAAAAGCTTCCTTGAAATGCATTGCATTAAAGGGGGATAAAGGGAAATCCTTAGCATTGTCCCAGATGTTTGCTGAGATTGTAGATCTTGAGCTCATCAATATATTATCATGTAAGATGTCATTTCATGTGTTTTTTTCCTGGAGGCTGATGTTTATGTCCAAAATTTTCTTTGGAGACCATCCTTAGAGATGTGACATGTGGGAATGAGCAAATCACTGTGATTTTGTTGATGTGAAGAACAAAGAGCATCACCATGAACTCTGTAGGGTTCCATCTGGTTTTAGAAGTCCCAAATAGGGTTTCAAAGTTGCAGTGAATGAGATAGGAGGATGGTGGCCAATCCAGAGGTGGTATTCAGCAGATTGTGGCCAGTTCTGGAGAACCAGTAATGGGCATTTTGAGTAGTTTGGAGAACTGGCAAATACCACCTCTGGCTGGCCCCGCTCCTATCTATTCTCCGCCTCTTGAGTCCCAGCTGATCGGGATGGAATGGTGATTTTGCAGTAACCTTCCCCTGCCACGCCCACCAAGCTATGTCA